CCAATTAGCAGCAGGGCAAACGGGGACATTGCAGACCCCCATGTGCATTTCACGTCTATGAGGTAACCCTTCAAATATGGTGGAAATTCAATTTGTAGTAGACGGTTCTGAAAGATGGAATGAAGGGGGGGAAAAAAACTTACCCCACCAGGAGAGGACAATGCCATATACTGTAAATGTATCAGTGTAAGATATAACAGGCCCCATAAAGTATCGAAGTGAGAAATTCCAACAGGAAATTTATGGGATAATTTTGGTTAAAAAGTTGCAAATTGCCGCAAATTACCTATTATGATGTTGTGACCGTAGTTTATAAGTCTTTTGACACCAACGGCCTGGTGCCCTACTGCACCACCTACTGCTTGGTGCCCTAATGCCCCACCTACTGCTTGGTGCCCTAATGCCCCACCCACTGCTTGGCGCCCTAATGTACCATTTACTGCTTGGTGCCCTAATGCCCTACCTACTGCTTGGTGCCCCAATGCCCCACCTACTGATTGGTGCCCTAATGCACTACCTACTGCTTGGTGCTCTAATGCCCCACCTACTGCTTGGTGCCCTAAAGCACCACCTATTGCTTGGTGCACTAATGCCCCACCTATTGTTTGGAACCCTAATGAGCCATCTACTTCTTGGGCCCTAATGCACCACCTACTGCTTGGTGCTCTAATGCACTACCTACTCCTTGGTACCCTAATGTACCACCTACTGCTTGGTGTCCTAATGCACCACCTACTGCTTGGTGCCCTAATGCACTACCTACTGCTTGGTGCCCTAATGCACCAACTATTGCTTGGCACCCTAATGTACCACCTACTGCTTGGCACCCTAATGTATCACCTACTACTTGGTGCCCTAATGCCCATCCTACTGCTTTGCACCCTAATGAGCCATCTACTGCTTGGCACCCTAATGTACCACCTACTGCTCGGTGCCCTACTGCACCATCAACTGCTTGGCTCCCTAATGAGCCATCTACTGCTTGGCGCCCTAATGCACCACCAATAGCCTGGTGCCCTACTGCACCACCTACTGTTTGGTGCCCTAATGCCCCACCTACTGTTTGGTGCCCTAATGCCCCACCCACTGCTTGGTGCCCTAATGCACTACCGACTGCTTGGTGCCCTAATGCACTACCTACAGCTTGGTGCCCTAATGCCCCACCTACTGTTTTGTGCACTAATGCCCCACCTATTGTTTGGCACCCTAATGAGCCATCTACTGCTTGGGCCCTAATGCACCATCTACTGCTTTGCACCCTTTTGAGCCATATACTACATGGCGCCCTAATGCCCCACCTACTGCTTGGCACCCTAATGAGCCATCTACTGCTTGGCGTCCTCATGGACCACCCATGGCTTGGAGTCCTAATGCACCGCCCACGGCTTGGTGCCCTTATGTACCATATATTGCTTGGTTCCGCAATGCACCACCTACTGCTTGGCCCTCTAACGCACCACCTACTGCTTGGCGCCCTAATGAGCCATCTACTGCTTGTTGTCCTAAAGCACCACCAGTCTGTGACATGTGAACAGCACACACTTCTAGTACCATACGTTGTTGGGCATTATTAGAGAGCAGAACCAGAATAATATGTAAATATTCGCAGAACTACAGTGTCAGCTGATCAGAAAATCTGTGTGTGAATTCAATAGATTGCATTTCCAGAGCTCCCCTTTAATTGCAGTCTTGTGTTGGGGCATCTGCCATGCGGAGGGTGAACATCGCGTTGTGCCGGGTTCTCCAGCTAGACGAATTAATCCCATGACCTCACCACTGTGAATCTGTACATCCTGAACACTGACCTCACTCTGCTAGTGATGCCAGCAGTCTGTGCCGGTGCCAGTGGGTAGTATTATCTCACCTTAAATAGCTTTTCATTGCAGGATTTCAGCATTCAATGTTTTATTTATGTTTCATGCAAAGAGCTTTAGGTGATGCCGCATTCATTAAAAATGTCCTTTTCTTTTTTTCTTTTGTTTGTGATGTTTTTTTTAAAAAGCAGACGCATTTGTAGGCGTGTTTGTCAAGCAACCAGATCATGGAGGGTTAGTTACTAGGCAATGGAGGAGGATTTGTGGGTGCCTGGCAACCGGGTGGTAGGGGGATACGTGGTTTCTAGAGAAATTATGTATGTGGTTACTAGGCAGCTAGTGTATATATGGTTACCCGGCAACACCCACACCTCTCAACATTCCTCATTTGTACAGGGCGATCATGGGTGGGGCCCCAAAAGGGACACATTTATCTAAAATGGGCATGAGGACTTATAAAGGAACTTTACCCACCAATTTAATGTATTCCAACTGTCAAGGTTGGCAGTGTGCTTATTACAGCTCTCAACCGAACTTTCAATCCTTCAAATGGCTGGTGTCATAGCTGATCACATGTGCAGCACCATGGCAACTGCAATCCAAATAGAGGCTAAGATGGCACCTTCCTTGGCTGTAAGGGATAGGAGGTTGTAGTGGGCCAATGGATGCATAGAAGAATATTTGGGCACAGTTAATGATACATATTGGCACCTTCAGTGATGGAAGGTTTCCGTTACCGTGGCCCAATTTTTATTTTGATGGATTTAAAGGGTCAGGATTAAGTACATGTGGTTGCTAGGCAACCTGTTTATGTGGCATTCAATGCTAGGCAACTAGACTAAGAGTGGCTGCCAGGCAAAATGTATGAATCGTTTTTTTAGGCAGCTGTGAATATTGAGTTGCCAGGCAACCCAATACAAATGCAGTTGCCATGCAACTGATGCAGGATGTGGTGGCAACAAGGGTGTGATTGCCAGGGAGCTGAGTTCTGTGACATTGTTAGCAGAAGGTCTAAACATGCTTGCCACGAAACCCAGTTTGCATGGTAGCTAGGTATGTATATGGGGTTGCCAGGCTACTGACATGTATGCAGTATCTAGGAAACTGATGTGGTTGGCAAGTGGTTGACATATATGCGGTTGCTAGGCGACCAATGTGGGGCCTGGTATGCCAGGGAGTTGGTTTAAAATGGGGCTGCTAAGCTACTAGACCTGGCTTATGCCTGGTTTCCTGGCAAGCTGTTACTTGCCTGGTAGATTTACAAAAAATATCACTAGGTATTGGCAGGTGGCATGAGGTGCCGACACCAGGACTATGAATACCGTGGTTCCAGGGATCCCAAGGATGAACGACTTGGGGTATACGCATGACTTCCACCTGCTATTGTATGTCATGTTAGGTTATACAATATGGACTGGCAACAGGTTGTCTTTAAAGGAAAACTTTAAGCAAACCTTTGATAGTGTTATTGCTCCAGGTGTCCACGTTAGGAAGGTTCCCAACTTCTCCTAACACTGTGGAAGCGATAAGAAATCTCTCCAAAGGGAAACAAATCCCTGTTGCGCACCATGCAGCACTTGCATCTTGGCAGAGAGCATGATCTAACCACATGGAAACAAGCATATATATTTCCAGCATCCCTTTATTATTCGCCATTCGATCAGAGAAGTAGGCGGGTGGGTGACTTCCTTGAGATTATCATTATTATTATACAGGATTTATATAGCGCCAACAGTTTGTGCAGCGCTTTACAATATAAGGAAGAAATTACAATCACAATACAATTCAAGACAAGATGGTAAGAAGGGCCCTGCCTGTGAGGGCTTACAATCTAAAAGGGAGGGGTGAGTGAATACAAATCTCTGCTGTGAACATACGTTCTCCTCTCTATAGAGGATAAAACAACAAAGGAATTTTTGGAACCTCCAAAAGGCTTTTTGCCTTCTGTGCTCACTGGGAAAGGAAGTGAGGAGCAGTCTCCCCAATGGGGACACAGACAACCGTAATCAGATGCCCCAACCCTTCCCCACTCTATCCAAAGCTAAAAATGACTTGGCTGGAGCTCCACAGTAAAAAAAAACCTTCAAGAATATATCAAGAGTAGAGCATATAGAGCAGCGTCACGGCACTCTATAAGCAAAATCTTGTGTTTAAAATGTACGGGACTTAAGGGGGGACATTCACATGGAACTCCCCTTTTCAAATCACAGCCCCCCCTTCGACATCCGAATCCCCCCTTTATTTTAGAAGCCTCTTCCTTTTACAGCACAGCCCCACTCTTTCACATCAGAGCCCCCCTCTGATAATTATATAAAGCATGGGGTCCAAGTTCCTCGAACAGGGGAAAAAATTCTTCCCTGTTCCCCCAATCCCCTGGATCAACAATCTTGGCCCCCGTCGAAAGGGGCACCAATCTTAAAACACTCTTGGGTTGCCGTTATAAACAAGGGAAGGTTGTCAGCTGGGTGTCCTCCACACACTCATACTTTAATTCCACACGTTGGCCCCATCCTTAAGCGTCTTGACTGTCATCCATTACTCTTCCCGTCTCGCTATGGACATTATCCAGGGGGGCTGGACTGGGTTTTACTGTTTGGCCAGGACCCATCTAAACGGCGAAAATCGCCAGTCACATCACAAAGCACCCTTGCAGTTGTATAGAGCGAGCAGAGGACATCATACATTGGGGCTTTCCGAATGCAATTGGCATCTTCTGAATGCCCCTTTTTTATTCTGTATTGGTAATCGTTGTAATCGAGTGGAGTTTTGTGCATGCGTGTTCCGTGCTGTATGGCTGCTATCCACCCAACTTTATAAATTTACCATTTATGTTATATGTGTGGTCATTAGTAGTACCAGTCCTTCTGCAGGATTTAATAAAGAGAAACATTATAGTGGAATTCTGGGCAAATATCAAAAAGTTATATATGCATTAAAAGATCCTTAAAGAGACCCTGTCACCAGACTGTTCATATCAACAACAATCTTCCCATAAGATTATATTGTCACTTGATTGTATTTGTTCGTCTTCACTTTATGCATGTTTAGTATACACTTCCCTAAGAGCATAGTTTACCCCCTCAATGATTCCATTTCATTGTTGTGCTGACTCCAGTGTATTTGTCCTGTTCTCTTCTGCCCCCTACTGGCTGGCTTGCAGACTGCTCACCTTATATTTGGTTTCAGGGATGAATTCGAGGAGGACGGTTACTGCCAGCCGTACCGAGGCATCGCCTGCGCCCGCTTCATCGGGAACCGCACCATTTACATGGAATCTTTGCACATGCAGGGGGAGATAGAGAACCAAATCACAGGTGTGTTAACATATTCTCTTCGTCATCTAGTCTGCATTCTGTCATGTCTTAATGCATGTTGGTCTTTTTTATTTTTTTATGTTGTAGCATGTCCATTAAAAACATTGTATTACTTTATATTTATGTGATTTTTAAAACATTTATTTTGTTGCATCAGTTCTACAAACTGTATCATGTAGCAGTTTTTCCATCCTCACGGTTGCAGTTGTTTTTGAAAAATTTCCAGTTTGATGCTTTTAATGAGACATTTAGGA